TATTTGTATCGATCTAGGTATTTTGTATATTTATAATATATGTATTTACAAAAAAAATCCAAGTATTTACCTCAGTTGTCTAGTACCCATAATACAAGTTCTGAGTACAGAATGAATACGAATGTTTGTGCCGTGCGAGGAATCGAAACCGCGACCATCAGCCGTAAAGCGGTGTGCTAGACCGCTACATCACCGAGATCGTCAATGTTGTATTGTATGTCTATGTGTCTTGTCTCCAATTAGATCTGTAACTGATATGACGTATTTCATTTACCTACCTATACGTAGCTATACATTATTCACATTATAAACCCGCCATTGTTTTAAAAGTCCAACGAAATCCAATTACAGCACACAGTTTTATATGAGTGTCCCGCGAACGTTGGATAGAGTGGTCGCCCATCGTGCAGATGCAATTCGAACTGGCGCATGGCGCGGTGGCGGGCGTCTAGAAAAAGAACAATCACAATTCAATTTCCAGCTCTCTGACTACAGCGTGTGTTTGTCAGGTCGAGTGTGAATCGAATTGAATGTACGATCAATTGAATGCGAATATTGGAAATGGGTAAGAAAATAATGGAAGTTTTAATCAAGAAAGAAAGAAAGAAAGAAAGAAAAATATTTTATTCAGTGCAATGTAAAATCAGGTCACTTGTCATGTTTTTGATTCTTTTTAGATCCATTATAAAAAAAAGGATCAAAAACATGACGAGTGAAAGACGAGATTTACACTCTCCGAAGTATATATTGAAGACTTCGGTAGTCTAAGGGCTTAGCATACCGGCCTTGCTTCCGTTAGTAGCAGGTTCTATTCCTCGTGCGGTGCAAAGATTTATATTCATAAGTATGATTATTCGGTCTGACTGTTTTCTATGTATATACATTTTTTTTAAAGGATGATAATGGAATGGCGCTCTCGCCTGCGCTAACGGTTTACTGCCGGGGCACCAGTGGAGGATGATAGGATGAACGTGAAGTCAGATCAGTTAGCCCAACGTGACAAATTCACCGGGAATGTATCACGATGGTTTCCAGGGGGAACCGCGTGGAGGTCGATCTAACATGGTACATTGCAGCAATGGGATCATCAGTCCACATTACTAACAATCCCCTTGCCTTATGTATATTATGTAACACGTAAACATTTCTAAAACATATATCTATTTATTTATTGTTTAGTACCCATAACACAAGCTCTGCTTTCCTTAGGATTAGATGGCGTTGTGTGAATCATGAAGGTGTGTGAAAGCAAGCTACTTGGCGGTCAATACATGAAAGTGAGATAGAAAAACTCTATCTACCCTTAATAAACCTGTATGGTTAAAAATTGAGATAACATAAATTTGCTAAATATTTTTATGAATATAGATATTCAAATACATCAGCACCGTTGCATATCTATACATATAAATAAAATTGGAGTGTCTGTTTGTAATATTGAAATAACCGTTTTTTACTAAATGCATATGAATAAAAAAAAAACGGTACATACACCAACGTAACATTTTTTTCAATTTTTGTCTGTCTGTCATGTTGGTTTCATTCCGGGTAATCTCTGAAATGATTGGACCGATTTTGACGGGACTTTTATTGGCAGGTAGCTGACGTAATAAGGAAAGCATAAGATACTACTTTTATTTTAGAAAAATAAAGTTAAATTCCACGCGGACGAAGTCGCGGGTACAGCTAGTATTTTATATAATATGCTTGTAGTCTTCTTGAATGCATAAAATATTATATTATACAAATGAAGATCCTTTTATGAATATATTCAAAGTCTGCACCGCACAGTATAGCTTAATTTGAACCTCCAAATGCAACTTTTGTTTATGCAATCTTATAATATATATTTATAGTATACACATATATCTACAATACATTATACTAGTAAACGGGTGCTGCTATTATGGACTAGTCTGCGCTGATAACTATGTCTGATTTATTTTGTTACTTAAGTTACTATTTTATTTGCTATTTTCGTAGTTTGTATTGTACTCACAGAAAATCTTATATATGTTTAACAACACCCAAGTTTTGTTGTCATTCTTCTTATAACGAGGATGCGTTCTCAGTGAGTGAAAGAATTGAAAATGCGTGTAGAAAATAGGACTATTTAAAAGTGCTTCTATTAAATTTATTTGAATAAAAAATATTTTTATTTCAATTCTACAATAATTCTAGTAGAGAATAATCACCTGTTTTGTTACTTATACTTTACTATTAATTTGTAACCTTGTAAATATCGCCGTAGTATGTTGCGAAACATAGATATAGTATATAAATAAAGACGTATATTTGAATTCTTACATATGTAAGAAGCATTAATTAATGATGACGACTTAGGCTTTGAAGCCGGCTGTCGCAAGGGAAACTTTATGTAGCGCCCGTGACTTGTGACACGGGTGTAGGTTTAAAAGGCCCTTTTAGAATGCATTAACACTCACTTTCAGTACTTGCAGCTTCCCCCCAGGCCCAACTAAGACCAGGATAAACCCATTCTTAATTCAATTCTCTTTAGTATCCAAAACACAACCGGCACGCTCTGCGTTCGTCGATTGAATGCCGCGACTCACCCAACGAAATATGATTATTTAACTACCGACCTCCGTATTTATAGACCGAAGTCAGTGTAGTACTCGTAGGTCGGTCTATAAATACTAGATGGCGTTATTTACAATATTTGTAATAATCTTTACATTGGGTACTTCATTAGTAATAAACACAAACTACCTTATTTTAATATATTTTTAAAATATCGGTTTTTTCTACAATATTGATGTGAACTCTAACTGATACATACAGAAGAATTGTATAACTAATAATTTAAATTTATAAATCAGTGCTGTAGTTCCAGAGTTTATTTTCCTTTGTAATACGATAGCCTTGTGTCATATTATACGTTACGCTGATAGTGTTATTCTACGACAATAAATACTGTCAGTGTCCAGTCAATCAGCCCGTCAGTATATCTGTCGTAAATGAAGTCCATTATTATCAGTTATTGGTTTTTCGTGACTTGACCACGAGCTGTTGAAGGGAAGTGATATTTTTTGTTATATATATTATAGTTTGTTATATTTTAATTATTAAATCATAAATTATCTAAGTAATCGTTGTTTCATTTCTGAGATGAGAGAATTAACTCTTACCTTGTAATAGATCTTCTTGTAATTTGTGAATAGATACATAATAAGTCCGGCGCCCCCGGGCGCCCCTCCGATCGATCCCCCGTCCAATTCAAACGGGGATCGAAATTACGACGGCCTGAGCCGAGGTTCGAATCCCTAGTGGTGCCCTCAGACTAAAGTCGTATCCGTCAAGCAGGAGTTGGCCTTCAGCCGCTCCATAAATCCTTCCGCGGGTTTGGAGTGCCATCTGCACTCGCCCCCTAACGTCCGGTGAAGCTGCAAAGGCCAGCTGCGGCCAACAGCATTAGAGTAGTCCGAAAAAAAAAACATAATAAGTTTAAAAAAACAAATTGTCAGGGTGAAACTTGCAATAAGAATTTATATATACATGGCGAACTTAATGCTTGATGGCATTCTCTACCAGTCAACAGTCACATTGATAATAGGAGTATATAATTCGCTTTAGGAAGGTGAGTAGTGACAGTAAAATTACAGGATACCCCCAGTTTCCTGCAATTATACATTTATCCTAGCCTTCCTCAGTGAATGAGGAGAGACAATGTATAAGATGTATGTATGTATGATTGTGGTTCATGTATATACGGCAGCGGTTTAGTACACTTTACTTCCGATGGTCGCGGGTTCGATTTCTCGCACGGTGAGAACATTTGTGTTAATGAGTATAATTGTTTGTATCGGTCTGGGTGTTTTCCATGTATATTTACAAAAAAAAATCTACCTATTTATATCAGTTGTCTAGTACCCATAAGACAAGCTCTGCTTATCGTGGGACTAGATGACGTTGTGTTAATTGACCAGGGTTATTAATTTTATACAAATATATATAACTCAAAGGTAACTGATGTAGTGATCTATCGACGCACAGCCCAAACCACTAGACGGATCGGTCTGAAATTTTACATGCAGGTAAATGTTATGACGTAGGCATCCGCTAAGAAAGGATTTTGATTAAATCTACCCCCAAAGGCATAAAATAGGGGATGAAAGTTTATATGAAACTTTGTCAATTTTAAACCTATCGGGCTGAGACTTTGCATGCGTAAAGCTACTATAATGTATACATCTCCTAAGAAAGGATTTTGATAAATTCCACCCTTAAGGGGATAAATTAACGCGAGCGACGCCGCAGGTAAAAGCTAGTTTATTTATACGCGATGTTTACCGCTATCTTTAGGTGAACCTTTTTTTTCCATTCTAATTGTATAAGAAAATAGAAGAGTATAGCACCTGGAAACCCCACGTCCTTACGTTTTAGCTGACTGCCTCTACGCCTCCGCGATAATCTATATTTATTGTCATTTGTACTCTGTGGGATGGGTAATTTTATTTCTATTTTGGCAGTTAGTCTGTGCCGGAAATTATTATAGAGACCCTGTATCTTTTATTATACATAGCCTTACACATATATAAAATTCTCCTCTCACTATGTCAGTTACCATACTCCTCCGAAACGGCTTGACTGATTTTTATGAAATTTTATATAAATATTTAGTAAGTCTGAGAATCAGTTGCTTTCTATTTTTTATACACTTAAGTAATAAGGGCTGTCCATCACAAAAATTTTTTTTTTATTTTTTGGACATATTTTAATTTTTTTATAGCGTGGGATTAAAAAATAAATACAACCCTACATTTTCACCCTACTACCATCGACCCCAATTTTTAATAGCGGTTTTAATTTATATGGCAAAACAAAATTTGCCGGGACAGTAACACAGCAGTAATTATATATAATTTTGAATATATTAAAATTACCAAAATAGGATTTTGTGTTTACTCGACCCGATGAACTCTAAAAAGGATGTTATTCCAAAATTTTGTTGTTGATGGTCTGTTGTCTATTATTTACAGATGGTGCACACAATGATGCCTCTAGCGAAGTCTATAGCCCTCGCCTTGTCTATAGCCCTCAGTCTAGCCTACATGGGACTAGCGATAGGCCTACGACCTGATGGTGAAGAGAAGCAGTTCTATCAGCAGGTTTGAACTCCTATAAATTTATTAATTAGCCAATATACAGCCAATGAACAGCACTACCGACATCACGTTATCTTTGATGCCCGTGATATCATTCATGCGTTGCCAGAAGATAAGATGTCATGACATGTCCTGTAAATTCACTGCCTAATCTCAACCATCCAACCGTTTTTTATCGATTTGGCGATGTTGGCGGTAGGTCTATACATAACTTCACTGGTAACCAAAATATTTTTCATTTCATTATAACGCAAGATTCTTGGTGAGACTGTATACCCAAGACAACTTTAAGAAATAGAAATATTCTTTAATCAAATAAACAAGCACTTTTGAATAATCATATTTTTTTATTCTACCACTCATACGGAACGCAGACTCATCACAACTTGTGGCTCTTTTATGTTATTTTAAATAATTAATTATTAATAGCTGGAAACGTGCACGTAATACCCCTGGTATTTCAGGCGTACATAGGCTACAGTAACCATCTACCATCAGATGGGCCGTATGCTTGTTTGCCACCAAAGTAGTATAATAAAAAAGCGCGGGATTTTCATATTTCCTTTCCTTTTTTTTATTTACTCCTCCATCCGCGCAATTTTCTTAAAAAACGGCACAAAGTTTTTGTTTCACGTATTAATGTAATGATACTGTGATTGAACTAGATTGGCGAGATGACGCAAGCTAATTTTGACAATTGTCGAACGAATTAAACCCAAGCACTTATACTATTCTATTAATTGCTGCGCCAACTTGTATGTGGTCATCTTTATTTGAACAGTTTTATAAGTAACTAGCTGTGCCCGCTTCACTTCCGGTAGTCGCGGATTCGACTCTTCGCTCGGTGCAAAGATTTGCCTTCATGAGTATGATTTAGGTGTTTTCTATGTTGATTTCATGAATGGAGCACCCGCCTGCGATAACGGATTACGCTGTACCAGTGGCGGATGATAGGATGAGCATCTCAATTAGCCCCTAGTGATAAATTTACTAGGAATTTATATAACAAAAGAAGTTAATATTAATTTTGCAATACAAATTCATTTGGCTGTTTATTTTAACAAACATAACCACTTCGGGACTTAATGTTTGAAGCTGAAATTTGTATTATGTTGTTATAATATACAATACGAAATAACATTTGCATAATTCATATAATATTATAATTAAACAATAACAATTCAAAATATGACTTGAGGGTCTACTCTTAAGTTTTATGTTTGCTTGTAAACGAATTCAGTTTTTGTACCGTTGTTTTGAACTACAATGAATCGTCTCGGTGGTCTTGCGGTTTAGCAGGCCGTCTTACTACTAATGGTCGCAGGTTCGATTTCTTGTATCTACCGTGCAAAAATTTGTATTCTTAACCATCGGTCTGAGTATATTCTATATATATTACGTTTGTATTTATAAAAGAAAATATATTTATTTTATCTGTCAGTTGTCGACTACCCATAACAGTAGCTCTGCTTAGATTGGAACTAGATGGCGCTGTGTGAATTATTTATTATTAATAATATATCTTTACCATTACAATCCCAAATAGAAACAAATATACATTATGTATAATTTACTTACTTTGTGATTATTAAACAATAAAGCACTCACACCGAGAAAATTACGTTCAGTATGGTTTGTTAGTTTATGTACGAATAAATCATATTATTTTGTATGGGATTACGTATATTTGTCGTCATACTAGACATTGTCATCATATTATGATGATAAAAAAACTATCTCTGTACACTGGATATTATGAATATGTAAATCTTTGAATTTATACATATAAACCTTCCTCTTGAATCACTCTATATATTACTAAACACTGTATTAAAATCTGTAAAAGATCTAAGCAAACATATAGCGGAAGTGACTTCACTATGTAAATATTTTTTTATCTTACTGCCTAAGAAATTGTCAATTGAATAAAAACTATTTATGCGTCGCGTGTTAAATAAAGGTCGTACATAAGTTCCTAGTAAATTGTTATTTAATAGTATATTGCCACTATTAATACAAATATATCATATTAATATTACTCATGTGCATATACACGTTTTATATTATTAACGTGGATTTAATTAAATCTGTTAAAATAAAAGTATTGATAGCGCCGTATATTTTAAGATGAGCAATATTCAGCTTATTATCAAATTTGCTAATATTCATATGCGATGCGGAATAAAAATATTTATATATTATTTATAAAACTTGTATGACAATACATTAATGATTTGAATAGTCTAACAGAGCGATTTATTGACATATTTTATATTATATTATTTGTTGATATATGTACTGATAATCAGAATATTGTAAACAATCAACAAAAACATGTATACATCAATGTAGGTATACATTTCATCTATTTACAATCGACGGCCGCGCTGGTCTACTGGTTTAGCACACCACATTACACCCGATGGTCGGGGGTTCGATTACCAGCACAGTACAAAATATTTGTATTGTGTAGTATGATTGTTTGTATTGGTCTGGGTGTTTTCTATGTATATTTTGTATGTATTTACAAAATAATGTATCTGTGTATTTATATCAGTCGTCTAGTATCTATAACACAAGATATGCTTAGCGTGAGACTAGATGGCATTGTGTGAATTGGCCTGAAACATTATTAATATTATCCGTAGTGTTGTTATATAGAGGACGCTTACCATCCACCATCCAGGCCGTCACCTTATTTATTATCCCATAAAACATATTAGAAACTTTAGCCAATAGACTAAACACTTAGTAAACTTATTCAATTTTTTTAATCGTTTCATTAAATTGTTGTTGTCAAGATTGCCGTCGCTGAGACAAAGTATTAACTTCACAATTTATCAGGATCAAAAGAAAACCGGCAGTTTCTAACAAACTCCTAGTAATTCAATGATTACGCACCAAATTAAAGGGATGGCTGCGAATTCAATTTGCCTTTAATCTTCTTCATTAATATCCGTTTGCATAAATAGACCAACTTAGATCATAAGTAAGAATTTCATTAGTAAACTTTATATAGCTAAATTATAAAAGTCTCAGACACACTCTGTTACTTTTTCACATCTAAACTGCTGAACGGGTTTTAATGAAAGATAGATATTGTTTGCGATCTCAAATAGCCAAATAATGCATTTAAAAATAAAATTATAAAATTCAAATATGGAATGTCACGCATAGAATATTAGTTTTTTTTAATTATGATCCTGGATATAATAATAACCATAGGCAATTAACACAACGCCATCCAATCCCACGGTAGGCAGAGCTTGTGTTATGGGTACTAGTCAATTGATTTAAATACTTAGATATATATCTTTTTGTAAATTGGTATTGTTTTATTTTTCTTTTTATACAATTCTTCACTTCTTCTCGATCATTCTCTGGCGTCACTATTAAATTCAGTGTACAATAAGTTCCATTTTTTACTTCATTTTTGTAACATAAACAGATTTTTTTTTAGGACAATTCACACAGCGCCATCTAGCCCAAGTTAAGCTACCTAAAGCGCGTGTTATGGGTACTAGATAACTAATACAAATACATATATAATTCATAAATATATACATACCATATTGTATATAGAAAACACCCAGATCGATACAAACGATCATACCCATGAATATAAATGTTTGTGCCGTGTGAGGAATCGAACCCGCGACCATCGGATGTATGGCGGTGTGCTAAACCACTATACCACCGAGCCCTTCCAACAAAAAGATTTCAAATAAAAACTTCTTTATCAAACCATAATATGTTAAATCTATATATTTACTGAACTTTGCCCTTATTAAAATACCATATACACAAGTATTTATAAATATAGTTGCAGTGAATTTTTCCTTAACAGCCCAAGGCATAATCTCGAATATGATTTTCTGATATCAAAATGACATATAAGTAGGCAATATTATGGAAACAGAGCATTAAATGAATATCTTGGATTTCAGTTCAAATTGAATCGTAATGTTGCTAATAAATAAAATTTGAATAATTCTCTTTGGCCATTAAAATTTCAAATGAGCAATCCTCTTTATATACAGTAAGGAATAATATTAATTTAATCATGAACACTACGCCAATTGTATACTTGGCGTTAAAATTTAAAAGCATCGTCAACTGTATTCTAATTATACAATACTTAGAATACAAATATATACATAGAAAAGTTAGTAATACGTTTTATGGCAATTGCGTAAGGTTATACAACAAAATACTAGAGTCCGTTATAAATCTGTCTGAAAAAAGATTTAAATGTCATGTAAAACAAATTCTTCATTATTAAAGGAAGTGTCCTTTACAAAAAAGCTTACTATAATATTGAAGAATTTGTTAACAATAAAATGTTTTTTATTAAAAACTTAAAATCCATAGCGCTGACAATATTATCTGTTCACACTAATAATGAGTGCGTAACGATTTCTATGTCGATTATCGCATGCCTTTTACTTGTTATACTGTAATTATATATATAAAAAAAAAAACATTTATTCAAAAGAGCAACACACAAGTTTCTTACTCATTCTTCTTGTGATGAATCTGCATTCCGAATGAGTGGTAGAATCAAAATATGACTTTTCAAATGTGCTGAAGTTAAATATTAAGTTTATTTGAATAAAGATTATTTCTATTTCTATACAATTACGAATATGTATTTAGAGTTTTAATTAAAAGCATACATATTTTATCCAATTAAGTGTTATTTTGCGGCAGTCCATTTCCTTTTCTTAATGGATTTATATTATTTTGTATAATTCTGTTACCATTAGCATAAATCAAAATAAAAAAAAACATTTATTCCTGTAGGACGTTATAGCCGCTTATGAACGTCAAGTTTTTTGTATTAATTATTTCTCCATACCATCCAGTTCAGTACACAAATTCAATTGAGAACTAGCAAAGAAACTGAACTGAGTATCTGGATATCTAGATTTACTGAATCAATTTTGAAAATTCATCAAGTCAAGTTTTTGTTTTTTTTCCTTATCGTCCAGTTCAGAATGCAGATCTAATTGAGAAGAACTGGCAAGAAACTTAACTGAAACTTAACTCAACTGAATGTCTTCCTTCTAATGAACAGTTTGTTAATATTATTTACTTATATAGGTCTATGTCTAACATGAAATGAAAATCTCATGCATGTATAACTATTGGCATACACGTTTGTCATTTAACTAATCGTTTAGAGTAATAATAAACTAGGCTTTGCTCAATAATAACTATGATTTAATAGATGTTTCAAATCTATTTAAAAGTAATTAACACGTTGACGGACAATTGCGGCTATAGCCGTCAAAGCGAAGTTCACAATGTGGCATGACTGCTATAGCCGTCCAAAACGAAACGGTCGTTTTTAGACACTACGGCTATAGCAGCACAAATGTGCACTTACTGGCGTATACGTAGAAGCATAGTGTCGTGTTTTGAAAACATCTTTTTAGGTTGAAGTTCATATTTCACCTGTTATACGAGTTGCAGATTCATTATGCACGTGGTTGTGAAGGTGGTTGTGTCAATTTTCGAACTTCGCTTGTTCCTACTGTCCGTCAACGTGTTAATATTGTAAATTTTTATCCGTTCCTATTCCTTAAAAATTTACCGCAAATATTTAGTTGGAAACCCTGGTCATCGTTGTATCTTTTTATGGATGATAATGGAATGGTGCTCCCGTCTGCGCTAAAGGTTTACTCTGTCGGGGCACCATTGAAGGATGATGTGATATGATGAGCCAAAATTATGATTATGAGCCAAATTCACCAATACAATTCACGATGGTTTCCAGGAGATGGTCGGTTGACCATGTCAGGTTTGACATGGTACATTGCTAGCAATAAGATTATTAGTCCACATTACTAATAATAGTAACTTAAAACGACATTTATTTAAAAAAATCTTGTTCAATATTCTTGTGATGAGTCTGCGTTCCGAATGACTGGTAGAATAAAAAATAATGTGACTATTCTTTGTTCTATGATTTTGATATATATATATGATATGATTTATTATTCTATGATTTATTCTATGAAAAGTGCTTAGATTAAGTTTACTTGAATAAAGATTGTTTCTATTTCTAATAAAACCTACTTTTAATTCTGATAATCGAACATGATACGTTCTGATTACGTCAGATGTTCACCATCCATATTTATTGTGCCGGCGCCTCCCTCAACAGACTATGATGTACATAAGTTTCGTGTCAAACGGCAATAATCGGAATTTGTGTTCACCATCACACTACTTGCAAGGTCGACTGTAAAAGACAACGGCAACATAGGAGGATATTACATTATCAAATATTTAGTTTAAATGTCAGATCATTTTATTGTATTTTTTTATCTAGTCATTTTTTTTGTACGATAACGAAATGATACACCCGCCTGCGCTAACGGTTTACGCTGGCGGGGCACAAGTGGAGGATGATAAGATGAGCATGAGGTCAGGCCAGTTAGCCCTTCGTGACAAATTCACCAATAATTTATCACGATGGTTTCCAGGGGGAACCGCGTGAAGTGACCTGACATGGTACATTGCTGGTAATAAGATCGTCAGTCCACATTACTAACAATCCACTTTCTCCCCTATGTAGTTAATTATAAGCATGTTTTTACAACAAAATACTCATAATATAAGCTCTGATTAATTTGGGACTTGGATGGCACTGTGGATTGTCCAGGGTTACTATAATAATACGGGATGCAAAAACTTTGTACACTGTCGATGGACGGTGATATATGACGATGGAGTATGAATTGCACAGTTATAGTTTATATACAGAAGCAGGAGATAATGCTATTTTTTTTAATACATTGAATGAATAAATAAACATTTCACACACTACCATGTATATGACAATACTCTTTTGTTTATTGTTAAAGTCTGTAGTCAAATTGAGAATAGATTAATACTGTTTTAATGTATAATTTGTAAAGTCTTCTGAATGTCAAACATAACCATAATATATTCACAAATTATAGAATAGACTATAATTTATTAATTCGTTTTATACAGTAATAAAATAAGAAATACATGGAACAATTTCAACATTAAAAAACAGAGTCAATGTGGACCAAAACATAATGCCTGAAACAGTTTCCAGCGCTGATTTTCAGTTGGGCCCACAGTACGGATGCATATATATTACAATTAAAAAATATGTATACATAAATATATATATAAACATAAATTATAACACATTTAAATTAATTATGGTCGAATTTCGACCACTGGGCGACTGCTAGTTATTGTTATTGTTATCAAATCTAAATAATAACTCAAAGGTGACTGACATAGTGACCCATCAAAAACATAAATGTGAAATGATAGCCGAGTTCAATATTATGATATATGCCTTGATTGTTGACTTCTACGACAAAAGAGGTGAGATCTAAATGGGTGCCAAGTTCAATGGTCTGTCCTGAAATGTATTTATAACAATATAAAAATCATTTATTCTTATAACTTAGGATAATATATTGTAGGCTAAGGTCTGACTTGGCTAGTTCTTATATACCAATTATTAATTTCGATGGCTAGTTACTACTAATAATAAAATAGGAACCGACAAGTAACAGGTTTAGACTTACAAAGGCTACAGTATATTTCGGAGAAATTAACGCGAACGAAGCTGCGGGCAAAAGCTAGTTAAATAATGAAATAAGTAAATGTCCTATTTTTTTACAGCTGTGCTGCGAATTGCTCCTCCTAATATCAGCTAACGGGATCGGACTGTACTACCGGGCTCTGACGGAGCGAGCTCATCGTAACACCTTCGCGGGCACCAGGACCTGCCTGGAGCAGCGTGTCAAGCTTGAGTGTGAACGCGAGCAGCAGGAGAGGCTACTGTTGTCGGTTATACCGGCTTATATTGCTGCTGAGGTAAGATATTTTTCATATTCACACGGCACTGGTTTGCCCTCATATAAAGTGTTGCTCCCATCTTCGGGCAGGAGCTCCTGGATGCCAGCTCGATCATTTTGACTTTTGGGTTCAGAGACATGCCATGAGAATCACACTATATACATAGAAAACACCCAGACCAATAAACACACCGAAACCCAACAAATAATTAATACAAATTTACGGAATCGAACTCGCGACCATCGGAAGTAAAGCGAGTGCTAAACCGCTAGACCACCGAGGCTGTTATTGCGTTGCGACACATAAAACTTCTTCTATGTGTATATATTTTTTCTAATAATTAAAAACTCGGCTTTGACACGCTGCCGCGTGTCTAGATCTGGCTGTATGTCTATAATCGGGAATTACCACGGGCAGTATTGCGTTCATATATTTTTTTTTATTTGTATGTATCGAACTCTACAAAATATACCATAGATGACAAAATATTACATAACCAATATTTTAGGAACATAATCTGGCAATGCTGCTATAGATATAAAACCTACAAATATTGCTTTTTAGATACTAAATTCGAGATCCTACGAAATCTTAAATAATATAAAATAAACAAACAATATGACATAAAGTTTGCGTGTCACTGTAATTCATTTACTGGTGTAGGAACTTCGCCATTTGCAAAGACAAAACAAGTTCTGAATGTTAATATTGTTTCTGGTAGACGATTGCGTGTCGTGGATACCAGATGCGATTCAATTGACGGTCTTGGTTGCTTTGTCTTACGTTGCTATGTCAGTTTTGTGTGTATGGAACTGTATGGTAATCAATACTGGAGGATAGAAGGATAAAGAAGTAATACTGATGTGTGAGAGTGTGTTGTGTGTGCTGTGTGTCGCGAACTTTCGTTAAACAATCTAGTGACGGTAGATGAAAAACTGCTGTCACCTATCTACATTGACATCGCTGTTACTCCAGTCAGCTCGTGACCACGGCTAGTGCAACCTAGTCGGAACGTCGACAGAGGTAAATACCTTTATTTGCCATAAAATTATTCGTGTTAAGACCCGGTTAATAATTTATATAATAAATTAATCCATTAATTATTATTACAATATTCTGTATAAAACACATTTATTGTTGTCATAATTATAATAAATTTGAACAAAATACAAATAATAATAAAAGGCCACAATACTAAAAACCTGCCGCATTACTAGATAATTTCTGACCTCCGTAATAATTTCCTCACACTATGCAATCTCTCCCACACTTGACTGGGGCCCGTGTGGATGATGGTTATAGATACCAAATGAAAAAAGAGAAGAGTACAGAGAAAAGAGATGATACTAAGAAAAATAATAATGAAATAAATAAATAATAGCAATTATTATAAATAGAATAGGTTGTATACTAAATACATTGAAATTATTAACATATTTATGTAGACGAACAAACAATACGGTACCACATCTGTAAATATCCTAATTGTCTGTGAAACAGCATTGTACGAGAAAACAAAATATAATGAAGACCACTCTCTTTTGTGAATTATAATAAGGTATTTGTTTCCATTGTCACAGTTCACGATATTGTATTTACTCATATTATTTGCTAAAATTATATTATACTAGCCGTGCCCGCGACTTTACCCGCGTGAAATTTATAGCCTATATCTTATTCTGATGTATAAGCTATTGATTGAAATGACCCTTCCTTTCCTCTCGGTATCGTTTATTATTTTTATATTTTATAATTTTGTTACATAGGTACAAACTATGATGTTGCGTTTATTTGAATTGTGTCGAAGTGAAGCCGTTTGTTGCCAACATCACGCCGTTAACTTTATTTGCGCCCAGTCGTCAATAGATGGCGCGAACATACCGCCCGCCTTGGAAGCCGCTGCTTTCAATTCATTATTGAAATATATATCAATTATCAGAATTTGTCGTATAGGTTGTAGACGATGTTGTAGGAGCTGATGATTTATTTTCATCAGTAGATAGTGGCAGCGGGCAAATTTTTGTAAATGCACGCTGTATTTGGCCAGTCGCCGTGCGAATGTCAGCAACTCGTGAGATTCCGTCTTTGCCTGGATAAACTCGTATAATCCTTCCCAAACGCCATTTAAGAGGGGGTTGATTATCTTCCTTCACTAAGATAAGAGTTCCCAATTTTATATCGCCTTTATTTTCTTTCCATTTGATTCTGTTCTGTAGCTGTGTCACATACTCCGTCGACCACCTTCTCCAGAAATGTTGTCTCATCTGTTCCACCCGGTTGTATCGAATGAGTTGACTGCTCTGCGTGTTGGTGAAGTCGTGGCAAGCAGAAGCGGTCAGAGGTCGGCCGATGAGGAAATGAGCAGGAGTTAAAGGTGAATAATCGGCGGGATCTGTGAACATGGCTGAGAGGGGACGGGAGTTCAGGACGGCCTCTATTTGTGTCAATACCGTGCTGAACTCCTCATAATTTAAATTAGCATTGCCTACTATTCGTCTAAGATGATTCTTACACAATTTGACGCAAATTTCCCAACAACCCCCGAAATGAGGTGCATATGGAGGGATGAAGGTGAACTTTATACTATCATTAGCCAAGAAATCATTTATCGTATTTAATCCGTTTTGTAAGATTGAAGAAAATTCTCTCTCAGCACCCACAAAATTTTTCCCGTTATCGGAAAATATTTCCGCTGGCTTTCCAATAAAACGTTTAAATGCTAAAATATAATCGTTTATTTAAATGAATTAATTTTAATTCTAAATGAATGCATCGCGTAGCCAGACATGTAAATATGCAAATATGACCTTTAATTAATTTAGCACCCCTAAGACTTAATATGAAAACTGGTCCAGTTACTTACTGACTTATGTTTCTGTTCGAATAATAAATTGTGTATCTACTTTTGCTACACAACAATATTTTATAAATTTTATTATAGTTAAAATTAAAATGATTAAGTCTCTCGCCAATATTAATTAATTTATTACTATCTACAAATACGTTTAACCTAAACCTTATTTGTTTCATTACACCTTTTTTATAGAAATCGCATTAACTAAACTATTATATAAAGATGAGAATTAATGCATCTGTGCAATCTGCGATAATACCTGTACTGACGACATCAGTTTATCAGCTGTGAGAGAACCGGGTTTACATTGTTGTTTAGTACGAATATTATGAATGAACCTAAGTGCATACGTTCCCGTTCGCTTTAATTTATTACATGTCGAAAACCTATTAAAATTATATATATTTTCTTTCGAATTTACGCAAACTATATTTATCATTTTATTTCTCAATTCAGGTAAAGCATTTGAAATACCTAAATTTTGTTTGTTTAATTATTTATTACAATGTTAAAAATGTCGAACCGTCCCAACATAGACGATTGTCCCTAAGCGCGTTTATATAAAGACCGCTCGACACTAGGTCCGCTGGATTATTATTACCGTCTATATGTAACCACAATAAATCACCTATTAATTCGTTTATTTATTATAATACTCGGTTCTGTATAACGGTTTTTAATAAATGTGGAGACATACGTAACTAACCCATCACGATGTGTCTCTAGTCGAGTCTGTCTAAAGTAATTGCAATAAATTTTAACCTAATCGAATTAATTATTTTTATATAATCGCACACCTATTAAAGTATTAAATTATTTATTTAATTAATTTAAAGGGGCTACTTTGCCTTTTACACAAAATAATTTAACTGAAACTACTGAATTATATATTACATGAATCAGAATTAATTAATGTTTATCGAAAGAAATACGAACGCTACGAACTGATATTGCCTAAAAACCAGCATCAAACATATCTCATAATTTAGTTGTGGTACTATCCTCACGGAATACCCCGTGATGTGGAAGGAAATAATATGGCCAACTGTACCTTTTTATTTGAGACATGTGACCTGACTCGCGATATACCCGCCTGAAGTCACTGCAAGGGCACATACGTTTATAAAGTGACATACGCTTTAATCTACGTTCTAAAGGAATAGAACGTTTATAAGCTGCCGTATATGAGTCACCTAATAAATCAGCTGATTTCTTTAACGGTCTATGAACTGAAAATCTACTATCACATTCACGTTTTGTCGTGCTGGTAAATATTTTTTCGCATTTACGGTCGTCAGAAGTAAGAATATTCCAACGTGAGGAGTTTCTTCTACCTCCCAATTTTTTAAATTTTGTATCGTTTAAAGTTTGTATAAAATTACACAAAACATTATTGTTATAATGCGGATTATTATAATTAATAGGACCTGATATCAACCATCCTAATTGCGAATTTTGTAAATAAGGACCGCATTTTAATTTAATTTTATTATCGATTAATAATTCCCAAAATATCTCCGCGCCTATTAATAAATCGATTTCGGAGGGTGTATTATAAGTCGGATCGGCCAGTTGAATATTATTCGGAATCGATATGCAACCAACGTCGATACTCACAGACGGTAAGTTTGAAGTGATGCAAGGTAAAACATAACATTTAATATTCGTATAATAATCGTTTAATTTAGATCGTATAGTTAAATCGCATAATTTATTAGAGTGTGAGACCGATTGTCCTACACCTAATATTTGAATAGTGGACTGTATAAAATTCGTATAATTTAATCGTTTACATAACGCTTCGGACATAAAACAATGTTGACTGCCGTTGTCTAAGAGAGCGCGAACCGTGTGTAGTCTGTTATTACTATCGAGTACTTCGACTTGTGCAGTAGATAGCAAAACCGGTCGCGCGGTCAGGTGAGCCCGTGACGTACTCGTGAAGTTGTTATCGCTGCTATGTATATCTATAGGTAGCGATGAATGCAACACAGTAGATGTTGTATGGTGCGTATTATTTACTGCGGAGAGCTCATTATTACTCGGCAACGATTCGCCGTTAGAGTGCACATCGGTGTGCAACAAACTATTATGTTTGCGTTTACATTGCTGGCAAGGGCCAAAGAAACAATCACTGACCGAGTGTCCAGCACGCAAGCAATTA